TTTATAGTAAGTATCTGAAAGATTATAGAGCTGGTGGATTCTGGAGAATATTTTGTGCTATTATTTTCACTCATTGAGCTTGATGAGCTTCTAAGTGGCTTCCCATTGTGTTTGCTAGATTCTGAGAGTGAATTTTTGTAGTCTTCCTCACTGGGATTTTCTGAAGGATTAGACTGAGTGTTGGCTTTTTCTCTCTCCTGGCCTTCACCTAGTGAGAGGTGATGTAAGTGTGTGCTAGTGCAATGGCGCAAGGCTTTCAGAGGCCCTATGGTGCGGGGTACAAGTAGTAGAGAGTAGAGATAAGGGTTCAGGGTATGGATGTAGGCCAGGAAGGTTGAAGGAACAAGATAACGGTCTGAGATATCCTGCTGAGATCCCAAAGTCAGACATGGAGGCTGCCAGAACCAAGGTGGAAAAGCTAAAGCAATTATTTTAGTGCTTGTTGAGAACTCTTCAGTAGAGGATGAGAGATCATGAGATCCAGCAGAACTGATCCTAGTTGTCTCATCAGTGTAATTCTCTAATCCATACTCCATGCATCCAGATGTCATGTTCCTGTCATCGCTTGATAATGCCAAGTTCATTCCAAATTAGAACCTGATGTTTGGTACAAGTTGTGTTACCCATCCTCATACTTGATAGGTTGTGCTCCTCTTGTTTTAGCTTACTACACAGTTGCCATGTACTCACAGAGTTCTAGTTACCTTTGCCACTCTGCACTGTTCATTTGTTTTATCTTCTCTCATAATGCTTCATTTTAATTAAAATGATACCTTATTTTAATGTTTGGGTATTGCCTACATTTTATTAGTGTTTGTGCACTGCCTATATGAAAAGTCATGTGAGAAGCAAGACTTGGTCTGCCTTGTCTATAGTGAGCTGAAGATTTCCTTGTACCTGCTAAGAATTTGATGCATATAAATATATATAGATATAGATATAAATATACTACATGTATTTGAAGCATTTGGTACACTATTCTATATATATAGTATACTGTAATAATACTGTAATACTGTTCTCCCATTGTTCATCGATTTGCTCAAGCGGGCCCAGTAACGTCTCCATTGGAGACTTTGTTGTTACTGTGTTTGGCATATCGAATACACCACGGGGAGCTTGCCAGACTCTGCCGTGCGGGCGAGATACTCTCAATAGCTTGCCAGGCTCTCCGAGAGGGGCGGAGGAATCGAACTTGGGTCGACCATGTTGACTGCGTGCAAGGCAAACACCCTACTGCTGTGCTATCACTTCAGCCCCATATGTAGTATATGTATATATGTAACAAATGCTTAAATAAATATATATGCACATATATATATAGTATGTGCATTTGTGTCTATATATATATAAATGAGTCAAACACTAATAAGGAAGAGGCATTTTCCCTCATATTAATTAAGACCCTAAACATTGAAACTATATTTAATAGATCTATCAATAAAATAATTAAAATGACCATAGTTTAAAATAATTAAAATAACTAAAATAACTTCAGTTTGAAAATTTAAGGCATAATTAAATTGACATTGCTGCTATATTTGATGTGATTTTTGACCAATTTTGAGCACCACTGATGCAGAGTGCTGTTTAACTGAATCTGAGGAAACCAAACACAGTTGCATTTGTGCATGAACAGCATATGCCTTGGCAGTAATTCATTTGGACTAGGTGAAGTCATCTATTGCTTCAACAGCACAACCACTGTAATCACGTTATGCAGAGGTTGGCAGTGATGGATATGCATATCAAAAGATTGGGAATTTTCTGCAATGATCATATTGTTGATTAAACTGCCATTTTCCCACTTCACATTGTAGTTTTGGTACTGCTCTAGAGACTACAGGTAATTAGAAGTAAATTGTTTGTTTAAATTTACTCATTGTTTTTAAATAGAGAACTAGCTATTCATTTTTCCAGATTAAATAATATTAGTTGAAATAAGTGTGTCACTAAGAAACATAACTTTCTAATTACTTTCCTATGACAAGATTCAAAGTGAATTTTATTTTGTGCTTACTTTTACAAATTTGGTGAATGGTAGCAATAAACTCAAACTTTTATATGAAAAATATTGATCCAAATAAAATAAAGGAATTGAGCTGATTGTCTGACCTTCAGCCCATGTTGGAAGACTGATTCCTAGTTTCTGACAATATTACCTCAAACCACCCTCTGTTTTTCAGAATATTAAAGAATCCTCTATTCTAAAACAGATGAAATTAGGAAAAATAGAATGGTATGACCAACAAAGGGAAAGTGTGAAAATTAGAAGAGCTTTAATAAGATACAAGATGCAGGGGAGTAGAATTTTTTTTTTTTTTTGCTTTTTGGGTTACACCCGGCAATGCACAGGGGTTGCTCCTGGCTCTGCACTCAGGAATTACCCCTGGTGGTGCTCAGGGAACCATATGGGATGCTGGGAATCGAACCCAGGTCGGCCACATGCAAGGCAAACACCCTACCCGCTGTGCTATTGCTTCAGCCCCGGGGAGTAGAATATTTTTAAGAACAACAGAAAAACAAGTGTGAGGATTGTTTACTAGAACTTAACAGGAAGGGGATGGAAGATGGAAACTGGGACCAGGAGAGAGGCGCAGTCCCAGGAACTCTGTTCCCCAGATTGAATAACTATGGTTTGTAGTCAAATGATTTCCACAAAGACATTGATTTACAAATGATTAACATTAAAATTACTATAGGTAACCACTCATTCAATAAACATGTAGAACCATGGGAAATTATTAGTTATTATGACCTAGCTTTAGAAAGACCTTTTTTTTTTTTTTTTGAGAAGGGGTTTGAAACCATTGTCATTGGTAATCGGGTCTCTCTCCTGGTTCTGCACTCAGAGCTCACTCTTAGCTTTGTGCCCAGGGCTCACTCCTGGTTCTGTGCTCAGGGTTCACTCCTGGCTTTGTGCTCAGGGATCACTCCTGGTTCTGTGCTCAGGGCTCACTACTGGTTCTGTGCTCAGAAATCACTCCTGGCTTTGTGGTCAAGGTTTACTCTTGGTTCTGTGCTCAGGACACATTCTTGTTTCGGTGATCAGGAATCACTCCTGGCTCTGTGCTTAGGGATCATTCCTTGTAGTTATTGAGAAACCACATGCAGTAGCAGAAGTTGAACCCAGTTAGGCCATATGAAACACAAGAGGCCCACAGTGCTCTTTGTCTTGCCCTAAGAAAACAAAACAAAAAATTTTATTTACACTTATTCTACACTGAATTTTCTTCCAGGGCATCCACTTTATTCCTCTAGTTTCTACTGGAACACCTTTTCCTTCTCTTCTGCATTAGGATCAATTTAATCTATTTTAGTCAGGACTTTTCAATGTAGCCACAGGAGCTTACATATAGCTTAATATGACCATGAGCTCTGTAAATTCTGGTTATCTTGGGGACTTTGCTTATGTGAATATGCCCAATAGTCAATCCATCTACAAATATCCAAACATCTATGTATATCAAAACATCTCCTTATATCCTTAAATTCAGCATTCTTCTCTGCACTTTAATCGTGTGTACTAAAATTTCAGTATTCTATGCCATCAACCATGTGTCCAGTCCCACTGTATGGCCTGGGCACACATACTAAGTCCACCAGTGAAATGAAGGCATGGCATACATTGCTCTTATAAAGCATCTTCTTTCAGAGACTTGGAGCTTTACAGATATGCATAAATTTGGAGGCCTGAGCAATTTCATAGGTGTTCTTAAAAAGAATGCAAGAATTTGAAGCTTGCCATTGGCATAGTTTTGTAGGATTATGTGGATTAAGCAAAATGTCACCTATTTTTCTAGATCACCCTTGGCCTTTTATGGGAAGAATAAGAGTAGGGGTTACTGAAGCATCCTTTCTCAAACTCACAGAACAAGTGCATTCTTTCTTCTGCTTTGCTCAATTGATTGCAGTTGGTTAGAAAGTTTGTGAAGCACAGAGACCAATTCACTTAAATGAATGTGTTGGGTCTTGTGATTTGGGATTTAAATTCTTGAGATTGATGCTCTGAGCATTGGAAAACTTATTAGCTGTTTCTATAATGCAGATTTGTTTTTCACAGTAATAAATTACTATTAATTTAGAGTCATGACACACTTAATCTGCTGCAAAAGCCAGGTCATAGATTTAATTTAAACCATTATTTACCCCATTCCTTTGTTGCTGTGCTTGACATTTATTTGCTTTCTTTCAGTATATTTAAGTCAATTTCTTTCTTATTGATTACTTTAAGTAATATTTTTTAAACCTACATTATGCTATGACTTGAATAATTCTTTGGGGCAGAGTCTACCATGAATTTTTTAATAGTTTGGCAAATTCTTTTAAACTTGAATAAAGACAGTCACCCTCATATATGGTTGCTTAATTTAAATAAGCTTACTTGTTTTAGAGAAAGGTAGAAAATGAAAAAACTTGTGCTTTAAACAGTAATTTTGAAATCTTTTTAAAATATATTTTGTTTTAATATTAAAATGATATTTTAGGGTATATGCAAAATCATGAAAGTTATACATTGTCAGTTTTATGTCTTATTAAACCACCCAATTTTAAAGATGATGGTAAAATTATTATACTGTCAGTATTTATACTAAAATAGAAAATGTAAATTACTTCTTTTGGGGATTTTTTAGGTTGATGGTATCCTGTGATATTGCACTATTATAGAGTGACTTTTATGGGCAAATTTCAACGCAGCTTATTCTCTTCACTTCTCTAATTCACTTTTATAAATGAAATAGGTAAAGATTTTTTTTTTTTTTTTTTTGCTTTTTGGGTCATACCCGGCATTGCACAGGGGTTACTCCTGGCTCTGCACTCAGGAATTACTCCTGGAGGTGCTCACGGAACCTTATGGGATGCTGGGAATCAAACCTGGGTTGGCCGCATGCAAGGCAAACACTCTACCTGTTGTGCTATAGCTCCAGCCCCGGGGTTGCTCCTGGCTCTGCACTCAGGAGTTACTCCTGGCGGTGACCATATGGAATGCTGGGAATCGAAAAAATATGGAACACTTTACAAATTTGCGTTAACCTTGCGCAGAGGCCATGCTAATAATCTCTGTATCATTCCAATTTTTGGTATATGTGCTGCAGAAGCAAGCACTTTCTAAGATTTTAATAGTTTTAAAATCCCAATGTTTCCTGCTAAACAAAAAATGTATTTATACCCCATACAGAAGTCAACATGAGAAAGGAGCAAATACATTTGTAAGAATCTCTATTTTGGGGCCAGTAGTAATGCCGGGTGTTTGCTTTACACCCAGCTGACCTAGAATTGATCCCCAGGATCTCATATGGTGCCTTAAGCACCACCAGAAGTAATGCTTAACCCCTGAGCATTGCCAGGTGTGACCCAAATCGACAAAAACAAAAATCTCTTTTGCAAAAAGTGTAGTTCAAATAATCTCCTTAGAACTGAGTAAAAATATCTAGCTATTAAAATGGGGTAATTTAACAATGCGTTTTAGATAAATTAGCACATGTCAAAATTTATTTTACATTGTTACATTGCTTATTTTATAGGTTGATACAAGTTCATATAATGTTCTGATAAAAGTTATTTAAATCACAAAATGTCACAAATAACTATTAGAAAATGAAAGAATAACTCATATGTTGATATAATATGCCAAAACTATAAGAATGACAACAACCTGATATAGGAAATAACTGATAATTTCCTTGATGATAAAAAAATTATGGCACACTGTGAACATAATGAATTACCTTACCATTTCCATGGTTACTGAATTACTCAATTCTAATATTCCTAGCTATGCACAAGTGAAAATTTAAAAGCCCTCAAAAGTAAAATCATTTTTTCTTGTTAGGGATTTAAAGCCCAGAGTTCAATGATCATGCCTTCTCCTGCAAGACCTGGTTTAATCTTACGCACCATATGGTCTCTTGAATCCTGCTATCATGTGCCCAACATCGCAGTGCCAGAGCAGCAGTGCATGGCCATGGGCCGGTGTTGAGTGGCCTGGTTGAGTATTGGCAGGAGTGGCCTGTTGGTCTCCCGACCACTGGTTAACCCAAACAAAAAAATGCATTAAGCATTTCTTGCTAAACAAAAAATGTATTTCTTGCTAAGCAAAAAATGTATTTATACCCATACAGAAGTCAACATGAGAAAGGAGCAAATACATTTCTAAGAATCTCTTTTGTTCGGGCCAGTAGTAATACAGGGTGTTTGCTTTATACCCAGCTGACCTGGGATTGATCCCCAGGATCTCATATGGTGCCTTAAGCACCACCAGAAGTAATGCTTAACCCCTGAGCATTGCCAGGTGTGACCCAAATCGACAAAAACAAAAAGCACTGGTTAACCAGTGGTCAGCCAAAAAATTAAAGTGTTTTCATTGCAAATTGGCAGAACATAGATTTACAAGGATCTTAAAAATTTTTTAAGTTACATTTACTTGTTACATCTAGTGTACTGAAACATAATAGCAATGACAAAAGTTATTCAAGAGTTCATAGTCCATGGGCCACCCCAGGGGGGAAAGGGTGCTGTCCCTCCACCTGCTCCCCCTAGGTGGCTTGGTGGTTGCTATCCTCCAGAGGCCACTGGACAATCAGGTTTGGACCCTCAGTGACAACACATTTGGGGCCTCACCTCACGGGATGGGGGTGGAGCTGGCCCTTTCCTCCCCAGTCCAACAAGACCCTGAGTCGTCACCTACGAACGGCCTCTCTGGCTCCTGATCAAGCTGCTTAAGGGCCATGATTCCAGAGACTCAGGAACAAATCTTGGAACCCAGCAGGTTTTGGCAGAAATACCTCCAGATTTAAGTGTTAAATTTGCGGAATTTCAAAATTGCACGGCCACTACTGCAACCACGTGACATCATATGTTATTTATAACCAGCATTAGAAAACAAATTGTCTACTGTTGCCTTTTCATCAGATCTGAGTGTTGGAATAAAATCCGAAATAATAATGGTGGGTCTGGTGTCAAAATTTTGAATGTAATCAACGTAGAGAGAGAGAATAACATGGAAATCATCTGCCCTGCAGGTAGGGGGAGGGTTGGGATGGAGGTATACTGGGGTTTATGGTCGTGGAGAAGGGGAACTGGTGAAGGTACGGGTGTTTCATTGTATGGCCGAGACTTAAACCCAAAAGCTTTGTAACGGCTCTCATGGTGATTCAAAAAATAAAATTATTTAAAAAAATTTTAAAAAAAGTAAGGTGGAGTTCATGCCCAATTCAATCAGCTAATTAGTGACTGAACAAATAGCAGTACTCCTACTTATTAAAAAAAAAGAGTTCATAGTCCAGATTTATAGGAATCTGAATGTTCCCTGAAGACAAGCAACACACACATAGATCCTTTAAAATTCTATAGAGAATTAGTATAGTAATAAAAATAATTTTGTTGTAATATTTTATAGGGTTCAGAAGGGTCAGAGAGTCATTACAGGGTTTATGTGCTCGCCATGCATAAGGCCGACCCTGGTTTAATCTCTGGCCCCACATCAGTGGGATGAATTCCTGAACACAATATTTAAAGTAGTTCCTAAAAAATGCCAGGTGTTGATGAACACAGATGCAAAGATCCTCAACAAACTACTAGCAAATAGAATCCAACTACTCATCAAATAGATCATACGCCATGACCAAGTAGGATTCATCCCAGGGATGCAAGGATGGTTCAACATTCGGAAACCAATCAACATAATCCATCATATCAACAAAAGAAAAGATAAAAAGCATATGATTATATCAATAGATGCAGAGAAAGCATTTGACAAGATCCAGCACCCATTTATGATGAAAACCCTAGCCAAAATGGGTATAGAGGGGACCTTCCTCAACATAATTAAAGCCATCTACCACAAGCCTACAGCAAGCATCATCCTCAATGGGGAAAAACTGAGAGCCTTCCCTCTAAGATCAGGGACGAGACAAGGATGCCCACTCTCCCCACTGCTGTTCAATATAGTACTGGAAGTACTTGCAATAGCGATTAGGCAAGAAAAAGATATTAAGGGCATTCAAGTAGGAAAGGAAGAAATCAAGCTCTCACTATTCGCAGATGATATGATACTCTACTCAGAGAACCCAATAACCTCCACCAAAAAACTCCTAGAAACAATAGACTCGTATAGTAAAGTTGCAGGCTATAAAATCAATACTCAAAAGTCCATGGCTTTCCTATATGCAAACAGTGAGAGAGAAGAAAGCAACATGAAAAAAAACAATCCCGTTCAGAATTGTGCCCCAGAAAATCAAGTACTTAGGAATCAGCGTAACTAAGGAAGTAAAGGACCGGTACAAAGAAAACTACAAAACGCTACTTCAGGAAATAAAAGAGGACATGAGGAAATGGAAAGATATCCCCTGCTCATGGGTCGGGAGACTTAACATTGTCAAAATGGCAATACTACCGAAAGCATTGTATAAATTCAATGCAATCCCTATAAGGATACCCATGACATTCTTCAAAGAAATGGAGCAAACACTCCTGAAATTTATATGGAACAATAAGCCCCCACGAATAGCTAAAGCAATTCTTGGGAAAAAGAAAATGGGAGGAATCAACCTCCCGAACTTCAAACTGTACTACAAAGCAGTAATAATTAAAACAGCATGGTACTGGAACAAAGGCAGAACTGCAGACCAATGGAACAGGGTTGAATACACTGACATCTCCCCTCAATCATATGCTCATCTAATCTTTGCTAAAGGTGCACGTAATGTGAAGTGGAGTAAGGAAAGCCTCTTTAATAAATTGTGTTGGCATCACTGGACGGCTACATGCAAAAAAATGGGCTCAGAACTCTGCCTAACACCATGTACAAAAGTAAGATCAAAATGGATTAAAGACCTCAACATCAGACCAGAAACCATAAGGTACATTGAAGATAAAGTTGGCAAAACCCTCCATGACATTGAAGCGATGGTATCTTCAAAGATCCCACGCCACTGTCTGAGCAAGTGAAAACAGAGATAGATAAATGGGACTATCTTAAACTAAGAAGCTTCTGCACCTCCAAAGAAACAGTGACCAAAATACAAAGACAGTCTACAGAATGGGAAAGGATATTTGCCGAGTACACATCTGACAAGGGGTTGATATCCAGGATATACAAAATACTGGTTAAACTCCACAAGAAGAAAACATCCAACCCCATCCAAAAATGGGGCAATGAAATTAACAGAAACTTTCCTCAAAGAAGAAATCTGAATGGCAAAAAAGCACATGAGAAAATGCTCTACATCATTAATCATCAGGGAGATGCAGATCAAAACCACAATGAGATTCCATCTCACACCTCAGAGACTGGCCCACATTCAAAAGAACAAAAGCAACCGATGCTGGTGTGGATGTGGCGAGAAAGGGACACTCCTTCACTGTTGGTGGGAATGTCGACTGGTTCAGCCCTTCTGGAAAACAGTATGGACAATTCTCAAAAAATTAGAAATTGAGCTCCCATTTGACCCAGCAATACCACTCCTGGGAATATATCCCAGAGAGGCAAAAATGTATAGTCGAAGTGACATCTGCACTTGTTTGTTCATTGCAGCACTCTTTACAATAGCCAGAAACTGGAAGAAACCTGAATGCCCAAGAACAGATGACTGGTTAAAGAAACTTTGGTATATTTACACAATGGAGTACTATGTAGCTGTTAGAAAAGATGAAGTCATGAAATTTACATACAAGTGGTACAAAATGGAAAGTATCATGCTAAGCGAAATGAGTCAGAAAGAGAGGGATAGACATAGAAAGATTGCATTCATCTGGGGGATATGAAGTAACAAAATAGGAGATTAATACCCAAGAATAGCCGAGATCAGTACCAGGAGGATTACTCCATAGTTTAGTGGCCAGTCAGGCATTCTAGAGGAAAGGGCAGCTTAGATAGAGAAGGGAACACCAAATAAAGGGTGTTTGGAGGATCCTCCCAGGAGGGTAGATGCATGTCGAAAGTGGACTATGGACTGAACATGTTTGCCACTCAATGCCTCTTTTGCAGACCACAACACCCAAAAGGAGAGAGAGAACACAGGGGATTGCCTGCCACAGAGGCAAGGGGGGTTGGGGGGATGGGGGTCGGGGGGATATTATCCATGGTGGTGGAGGATGGGCACTGG